GGTTATAGACTAAGGTCAAACTCAAATATGCATCCCCCATCCAGTAAAACTAATACCTACCAATCTTCATTCCTACCTACAGCCATACGAGAATGGAACGCAATCCCTGATGAAACCAGAAATTCACCATCTAAACCTTTTTTTGTAAGATATTTAAACCGAAATAAAATCAAAAAGCCATCCTATTATTTCAATGGCCACCGTAAGGCCCAGGTACTCCATACAAGACTTCGTCTTGGTTGTAGCTCTTTAAATTATGACCTGTACAAAAACCATGTTGCTGAGTCAATTAGAATGTACAAACTATAGACAACATAGACTTAATACAATATCTGAGCTAAATATAAACATAAACATTGATATATTGCTTCAAGGTGACCCAAATTTGTCTCAAATAGAAAATAATGAAATTTTTAATCAAGTTCAGAGGTACATTATGGCATGAGGCAGATTCTAGGTGTTGAAGTGGAATCTCATCACTCTCTCAAATTTCTAAATCTTCTATCTCTCTTAATAATTTAACTCTTTATTTCTCATTTCTTTCTTTCTTGCTAATTAGATTAAAATGTGTGTTATATATGTTAAACAATTATGGTCAGTCAGAGAATATAAATGTTTGTTAAATGTTACCTAAAGGAGATGGCCTAATATAAGATTTTATATCTTGTCGCCAGATCCTTTCAATTTATGTGATTGTATTGTATTGTAAATGAATTTAATTAATAAATATTGTTTAAACCAACTACTCTAGGTATACTGAGCGTTTCATTAATTAAGTCTACAGAGTACCTGGATTGTCAGTGATCTACAGAGTACCTGGATTGTCAGTGATCCATATTTTACTTATCCCAAGATTGTAATTGTTGCACATATAATTTAGGCCAAAACAAATTGATTACTTGGTTCTCAGGCCAGCGCGCATTTCATTTTAGGGCACCGCATTGCCGATTTTATCGTGAAAGTAATAAAAGAATAATTGTGAATGTGCCAGCCGCTGTCTTTAAAAAAATCCGGAAAATTGGTCTGCATGTCGTTTTTACTCGTTAGTCATCCCAATCCTGAAAATGTTTCAATAAAGATAAGGATTGATATACAGACAAGCGTTAAAATGATTATGACTTGTGTACAAATGGCGCTCATTTCGGTACAAATAAGGAATGGGGGGGGGGGGTTCGGGATTCTCGTCTGGAACATCATGGGGGGATTTTCGAAGGCTTGCTCTATGACGGGTCTCTACACAACTATAAAAAGACAAGGTAATGTCCACAATGAACGTTTTACAAAATACACAATAAAAAAAAAAATGCCCTCATCTCATTTTTGCCATGTAAAATGGTAAAATAAAATACTTCCCTGCCGCATCTCTTTTGAAAAAAAATGGCCTGAGAACCAAGTAATTAATTTTTTTTGGCCTTGGTATACTGGTAGATCTCTCATTCCTGTGCGTCTTTGACAGAACTGTCCAGGGTGAGAAAGCAGTAAGAAATTTCAAACTTACACCCCATTTCATGTATGTGACATCACAATGGGACACAATGATGCGACATCAGGAATATTGCGGTTCCTTACCTTATACTCTTTCATGCCCAGGGATGTAAGATAGGGAAACCATCAAAAGATATTTTCAAATTGATGCAAAACCCTGGGGTGGCATTTTTTTATTCTGCATCCCTGTGCATGGAAGAGTCCTATAGTCTTGGATGTAAAGGAGTTACCTGTACAGCTAGAGCAGCACTCGTTACGGCGGATAGTGCCATGAGTACAGGTGCGGTTACATGTCTGACGGGTCCGTGTAATGATGCGCCCCTCGCGACACTGGTTGACACGGCATGGATCAGATGAGGAGACCCACACGTCCCTGTTCTCGTACCGCTTGCCCTCATCCACACACTCTGGAGCAAGGAACACATTAATATATCCCTTAGAACTATACTGGTAAATATTGTAATTAACTAATTACAGTTTTGGATAACATTATTTCAATAAAACTTGATTAGAAAATGTTAGAATCCGCAGGTATAGTTGTATTAATGTAATTTTTAGTAAAAAATGTGGTGTCAACTTAAACATACCTGGACACCTTAGGTCACAGCAGCCGGACCCAACTCTCACTGGGTTCTGGCACGGTAACGTCTGTGTGTCACAGCGCATAGGTACACATCGCACAATGGAGTTGTCACAGGAACAGTTGAGACAGGGGTCGTAGGATGCACTAAATACATCTCCATGGCGATATCGCTTGTCATCATAGTTACAAGCTGTAAAGGGCAGCAGTTAGTCAAACAATTTAAAAATGTAAAAAAAAAATCAAGTACGATAAGAAATTCAGATAGACATATTGAACCAAGGATAATACACATGTGTTAAAGCCCATAAGATGGCACTTCCCTGTGACAATACAACTGTTACAGCCAGTAAAACGCCACTCCCCTGTGACAATACATCTGTTACAGCCAGTAAGATGGCCCTCCCCTGTGAAAATACAACTGTTACAGCCAGTAAGACAGCAATCCCCTGTGACAATACAACTATTACAGACAGTAAGCCGGCACTCCCCTGTGACATTACAACTGTTACAGCCAGTAAGACAGCAATCCCCTGTGACAATACAACTGTTACAGACAGTAAGACGGCACTCCCCTGTGACATTACAACTGTTACAGCCAGTAAGACGGCTATCCCCTGTGACAATACAACTGTTACAGCCAGTAAGACGGCACTCCCCTGTGACAATACAACTGTTACAGCTAGTAAGACAGCACTCCCCTGTGACAATACAACTGTAACAGCTAGTAAGACAGCACTCCCCTGTGACAATACAACTGTTACAGCCAGTAAGACGGCACTCCCCTGTGACAATACAACTGTTACAGCCAGTAAGACGGCACTCCCCTGTGACAATACAACTGTTACAGCCAGTAAGACGGCACTCCCCTGTGACAATACAACTGTTACAGCCAGTAAGACGGCACTCCCCTGTGACAATACAACTGTTACAGCCAGTAAGACGGCACTCCCCTGTGACAATACAACTGTTACAGCCAGTAAGACGCCACTCCCCTGTGACAATACATCTGTTACAGCCAGTAAGATGGCACTCCCCTGTGAAAATACAACTGTTACAGCCAGTAAGACAGCAATCCTCTGTGACAATACAACTGTTACAGACAGTAAGACGGCACTCCCCTGTGACAATACAACTATTACAGCCAGTAAGACAGCACTCCCCTGTGACAATACATCTGTTACAGCCAGTAAGACGCCACTCCCCTGTAACAATACATCTGTAACAGCCAGTAAGATGGCCCTCCCCTGTGACATTACAACTGTTACAGCCAGTAAGACGGCTATCCCCTGTGACAATACAACTATTACAGACAGTAAGACGGCACTCCCCTGTGACAATACATCTGTTAGAGCCAGTAAGATGGCACTCCCCTGTGAAAATACAACTGTTACAGCCACTAAGACGGCTATCCCCTGTGACAATACAACTCTTACAGCCAGTAAGACGGCACTCCCCTGTGACAATATAACTGTTACAGCCAGTAAGACGGCACTCCCCTGGGACAATACAACTATTACAGCCAGTTAGACAGCACTCCCTTGTGACAATACAACTGTTACAGCCAGTAAGACGGCACTCCCCTGGGACAATACAACTATTACAGCCAGTAAGACAGCACTCCCCTCTGACAATACAACTATTACAGCCAGTTAGACAGCACTCCCTTGTGACAATACAACTGTTACAGCCAGTAAGACAGCAATCCCCTGTGACAATACAACTGTTCCACCTAGTTAGACAGCAATCCCCTGTGACAATACAACTGTTACAGACAGTAAGACGGCACTCCCCTGTGGCATTACAACTGTTACAGCCACTAAGACGGCTATCCCCTGTGACAATACAACTTTTACAGCCAGTAAGACGGCACTCCCCTGTGACAATATAACTGTTACAGCCAGTAAGACGGCACTCCCCTGTGACAATACAACTATTACAGCCAGTAAGACAGCACTCCCCTGTGACAATACAACTATTACAGCCAGTTAGACAGCACTCCCTTGTGGCAATACAACTGTTACAGCCAGTAAGACAGCACTCCCCTGTGACAATACATCTATTACAGCCAGTAAGACAGCATTCCCCTGTGACAATACAACTGTTACAGCCAGTAAGACAGCAATCCCCTGTGACAATACAACTGTTACAGCCAGTAAGACGGCACTCCCCTGTGACAATACCACTGTTACAGCCAGTAAGACGGCACTCCCCTGTGACAATATAACTGTTACAGCCAGTAAGACGGCACTCCCCTGGGATAATACAACTGTTACAGCCAGTAAGACAGCACTCCCCTGGGATAATATTATAACTATATTATTGTGGAACATATTCGTTATGGTGGGACTTTGCTGAGGAAAGTGCTAGCCATGTAATTTAACATTATCATTGATCAGGAAGAAGATCTAAAGCATTTCAAAAAAGGAATCCTTATTACTTTGTTTAAAGGTGAGAACTGTTACAGCCGACAAGATGGCACTTTACTGAGGTAATACTGACAACTGTTAAAATTAGCAAGATGGCATTCCCATGAGGTAATACTTACGACTGTTGCAGATGGTAGGACAACACTCCCCTGGGGCAGTGATTGGCATGCTGCACTGGGGCCGGGGACACTGCTCATCAATGCAATCGACATTACCATGTTTACACAGACAGGACGTACACAGGTTAGGAGTGAAGAGTTCCCCGTCTTGAATAATCCTTCCCTGGTAAAAACAAGCTGGAACAGAAAGTCAGTAAACAACACTACTGAAACTGGCAGTAACTTCAATAAACTCATATATTAAATGCTTGTTCTTATTACATCACCGATTCTCAGGAATAAATGGAATGCAAGTTTTATTAACTAAGCTTGAATTTGATGGTAGCTATAATCACTAACATATCAATAGAAATAGTCTTTTTCTGTGTGGCTCCATATTGCAGTACAGTTTTCTTGGAACAGTGCGACATGCCTGTGGATACCGGGCAAGATACATTTAAAAACAAAATTGCATTTAGTTTGAATTGTCAACACTAAACAGGTATTTGTGTAGTGGTGTTTACTGACCGACACAGACAGGACAACAGTCTCCGGCCGGCGTGTAGGGATGCTGACAGTTAGTCTCTTCACACTGTATCCTCCTTTGATTACTGACACCGTTCTACAGGGGGGAAAGATACTTCTGTCAATCGCAAAGCTAAAATCTTATACAGATACATAAAACATAGTTCTATACTTTCAGAAATTAATGGAACAAGAGCACTGCGAGCAGAAGCATGATACGCCGGTCAGACCCCCAGAAGGGTATTGATATATTGGAAGCAGGTAGTGACGTATGATATAAATGTGTTTACTGCCACCGTTTTGTTGGTGACTTTGACCTTGCCATTCTTTTACTGTGTTTATGGCGCAAGCTATTTTGTGTTTCAGAATTACACTTTTGTGGTCAATGTTGCTACATGTATTCCTAAAACTAGAACCTTGGCTTTGAGGTAGGAGTCTTGCACTGCAATTTGCACCCAGATATTATGGCATAGTATACATAATACATGGGAAAATATAGGGTCGAGAGATTCAATTGCAAGATGAATGATAGTCAAATATATTTTAGTGTTGCTATGTCAAGTGTGATATGCCAAAACGGGGAAAGTTGAAACTTGACAGAAAACCCCATAATATATGTTGAACATTATCGCTTACCATAACAAATTTGAAAGGAATTGATTAGAAAATTAAAAGTTCTTGCATTTACTACACAATGCCCTTATTTGGCAATGAAAGGAGCATAGCCCCGCAATGAAAAAGGGAAGAAACTCTGCCGAATATCATTTAAATATCACAATTTAAGAAATCATCCATTGCATTAAGGTAATGTAACATCCCAACAAGTTTGACAAAAATTGAAGAACAATTGCTGGAGTTATCGCATAAACTAGCAAAAGTTAACAGCAAAAAAGATGAACAGCGAGCGTTGCTACATGTCAAGTGTGATATGCCAAAACAAGGAAAGTTGAAACTCGACAGAAAAAGCCATACCATAGGTTGAATATTATTGCATCTAGCATTACCCTACAAAATTTGAAACAAACTGATTAAAAAACAAAAAAAGTTCTTATATTTATTACACAATGCCTCGTTTGGCAATAAAAGGGGCATAACTCCACCAAAAATGCACGTAAACTTTTGAAATGCGAACTCATTCGAGCTATATTGGTATGCAATATGTTAACCAAGTTTCATCAAGATATATTTATGAATGAAGGCAGGAGAGCAACGGACGGACAACACAGACAATACCATAATACCACCCAACGGATGAGAGGTGTATAAGAAATGAAACTTTTGAGATTTTAACCAGGTTTAAAGCTACATTAACAAAGTTTCAACTTTTAACCAATAGTGATTTCATGTGTGACGTACCAAGCATGTGTGCTCTACACATGGGCTGTCCCGCTCCCGCCACCTCGAGCCATTACCATGACTACCACAGTCCATACAGGTGGGGCAGCAGTCACCAGGCAGGAGGGAGCTGCTGCGACAGCCAGGTGTCAGCTGACATGGCTTACGACGACATTCCACGCTACCATAGCTACACTGACATGTGTTACACTCGGACTCTTCAAACACCTCACCGTTAGAGTAGATATCGCCATTATAGTCACAGCCACCTGTACAAATCAAAAGTTATAAACAATTTGATGCAAGTAGACAATTTATTTCGCTCTAAAAGCGAGTTGTTGTTTTTAAAAGTGATTGACCATCACAGGATTTACAGAACTGGCCAGGTATCTGAATGTAGTGTGCATGTACATAAGCGTGAGGGTGTTCATATAGGAGAGACTCACCATCACAAGATTTACAGTACTGGCCAGATCTCTGTATACATACAGAGAATGAGGGTGCAGACTCCCCATGTAAAGACTTATTACAGCATTGGCATTAGCCGAGTACCTGTATAGGGTGTGTACATATTAAGAGCAAGGTCAGGGTATATATAGGAGGGACTCACCATCACAAGATTTACAGCATTGGCTAGGTATCTGTATAGGGTGGGTACATACAGGGAGTGAGGTCAGGGTGTATATAGGAGAGACTCACCATCACAAGATTTACAGCATTAGCCAGGTATCTGTATAGGGTGGGTACATACAGGGAGTGAGGTCAGGGTGTATATAGGAGGGACTCACCATCACAAGATTTTCAGCATTGGCCTGGTATCTGTATAGGGTGTGTACATACAGGGAGTCAGGTCAGGGGGTATATAGGAGGGACTCACCATCACAAGATTTACAGCATTGGCCAGGTATCAGTATAGGGTGTGTACATACAGGGAGTGAGGTCGGGTGTATATAGGAGGGACTCACCATCACAAGATTTACAGCATTGGCCAGGTATCAGTATAGGGTGTGTACATACAGGGAGTGAGGTCGGGTGTATATAGGAGGGACTCACCATCACAAGATTTTCAGCATTGGCCAGGTATCTGTATAGGGTGTGAACATACAGGGAGTGAGGTCAGGGTGTATATAGGAGGGACTCACCATAACAAGATTTACAGCATTGGCCTGGTATCTGTATAGGGTGTGTACATACAGGGAGTGAGGTCAGGGAGTATATAGGAGGGACTCACCATCACAAGATCTACAGCATTGGCCAGGTATCTGTCTAGGGTGTGCAGATACAGGGAGTGAGGTCAGGGTGGATATAGGAGGGACTCACCATCACAAGATCTACAGCATTGGCCAGGTATCTGTGTAGGGTGTGTACATACAGGGAGTCAGGTCAGGGGGTATATAGGAGGGACTCACCATCACAATATTTACAGCATTGGCCAGGTATCTGAATAGGGTGTGTACATACAGGGAGTGGGGACAGGGTGTATATAGGAGGGACTCACCACCACAAGATTTACAGCATTGGCCAGGTATCTGTATAGGGTGTGTACAGGTCGGTTCAGTACAGATTGTTTCAGCACAGTTCTGAAGGCCTTGCTGCAATTAATAATATACTGGGTATTTATAGATATCACCACATTTCACATCATAACACTTCTGCATACATCACAGAATTTGATGTTTGATCTGTATTGCCACATAGAAATCTAACAGCGATAGCTTTGAATTATGAGATCATTAATCTGGAGTTATGTTTGTGACATCATTACTGTTACAGCCAGTAAGACAGCAATCCCCTGTGACAATACAACTGTTCCACCTAGTTAGACAGCAATCCCCTGTGACAATACAACTGTTACAGCCAGTAAGACAGCACTCCCCTGTGACAATACAACTGTTACAGCCAGTAAGACAGCACGCCCCTGTGACAATACAACTGTTACAGCCAGTAAGACAGCACGCCCCTGTGACAATACAACTGTTACAGCCAGTAAGACAGCCCCCCCCTGTGACAATACAACTGTTACAGCCAGTAAGACACCACTCCCCTGTGACAATACAACTGTTACAGCCAGTAAGACAGCCCCCCCCTGTGACAATACAACTGTTACAGCCAGTAAGACAGCCCCCCCCTGTGACAATACAACTGTTACAGCCAGTAAGACAGCCCTCCCCTGTGACAATACAACTGTTACAGCCAGTAAGACGGCACTCACAATGCTGCAGCAAGAAGGCCGATACTGGATCTTAGCTGTTCCTTTTATCGAAAAGTTAGCTTAAAACCTGACCTTTCTGACTTATGACCTTTTGACTATGGTACCTTGACCATGGCGTTGACAGGTCCGTACAATATTGCTTCAAAATGTTGCAGCACAATATTTACCGTGAAATTTTCAATTTTATCATCTGACCTTGACCTTATACCAAGGAGAAGTAGCATGACCTTAACAGCATTGCTTCATAACATTATTATATAATGTTTACCATCATGATATGAAATTTGACCTTCATATCTTCGATCATTATATGACCTTGACCTTTACACCTATGAGGCACCTAACATCAGTCTGAACAATATCACTTTATGATTTCAATTTTTTACCATTATAACCTTGACCTTAAAGTACGTTCTGACCTAATGCTATACAAAGGACCAAAATTATTTTAAACATCTATGGCCCTAGGAGAACTAATGTACAAAGGTTGTAAAATATCCATGCTGTACTTTTGGGAAAAAGTGAAAAAAAACTTCAATACTGAAATTAAAGACAACACCTGGTGAATATATTGTTCTTCAAATCCACAAAAAAAAGTGATGCTGCCCATTTAGGACCCAAAGGCAACCTGTGTGGGAAATTTAGGAAAGATCTGTCCTGTATCTTCTGAGAAAACCCGATAGAAATATTTAACTCTTCAATCCAAGATAGCAACCTGACAGCCATGTTGTTCTACAAATGAAGGAAATGTTGCACAACCAGGACTCGAGGGGAAATTTTGTACACATTTTGAGAGAGAAACATTCTCATTATATATACTAACAACTGGATTTGAAAAGCCCAACATCTGAAGTTGATGGGCTAACAATGCCTGGAAAGGATGGAATAACTAAATGAAATTAAAACAAAATGACAGATACAACCATACAGAACATTACCTGACAGGTACAAACTCTGCATACTGAAGGGGCCCAGGTGGATCCCTCGGGGCGTTCCTTTCCATTCTCATCCACACAACCTGCAATCATAAGGAAGTAAAAAAAGCCACAAAGAAATACTGGTGTTCAGAAAAAGAAATATCTAAAATGTACAAAGTGTCAGCTGTTTATTTCATTCCAAAAGAAATTTAATAAATATGTCACAAATGTTGTCGAGAAAATACTTAATTTTGATTAGCCAATGACATTTGTGGAAGCTGAGGGTAACACTTAATCAAAGAGTAACTACAAGACCTTTCTGTTCCTTCAGGGAAGACAACTCACCACTACACTCAATGATGTTTCCTGTGACTCCATTATACCACTCCTGGTGACAGTGGCCACAATTATTTGTCCTACACACAGCATCCACGATACCTACAACACAAGTGTGAGTAAATCTACAGATACAGGTAAAGCACATCAAAGACAAGATACTAACTCCACGGTACCTACAACACAAGTGTGAGTAAATCTACAGATAAAGGTAAAGCACATCAAAGACAGGATACTAACTGTAAGAACACATTTCATCTATATTTTCAGTAAAGAAAAATATATTTTGAACAATTAAACAAGAATTTTGTTTTTATGAACAAAAACATATGTCTCCCCTTATTAGCCAATAGAAAAATCTGGTTTAAAAATAACCAATAGAAAAATCTGGTATAAAAAATTAACAAAAGCCCATATCGCTTTATATAGTGGGGCACGAGACCCGAATTTAGAATTCGACACTCCTACTTCCCAAGATACATTAAAACTTCAGCAAGTTTGGTCAACGTAGGTGAAACTAGAACACTTGACAGGTCAGTAAGGGCCCCATCTTGTGGCAATATATTCCCCATAAGCATCAAGAAGCAATCTGCCCATGTAGCTGAGCTTGACGTTTAACATTTGGACTTCAAACAAAATATCCATTTTACATGTACTATGATGTGAGTCTTGTTTCCTTCCACTTCCATATTTGCTGGGCTTACAGAAATGTAAATACTGGTGCAAATTACTCATTTGTTAGCTTTGATTAGTTTTATTTCACCTTAAATACCTCCCCCAAATGACCTTGACCTTTAACCCAGTGACCCTGATCTTTGGTCAGTTGACTCAATCTTCAATTTCGACCAACTTTGCTTCATAATATCATAACAAAATGTTCATGAGTGAAAAATACAAAACTTGACCTTGACCTTGAACCTTTGGAACCTGTAACCTTGACCTTTGGTCAGTTGACTCCGTGTTAAGTTCTGAACAACTTTGCTTCATAATAACATACAAACAAGAGGCCCTATGGGCCTGAACTTCTCATCTGGTATTAATCTCACACTTGTAATCTTAAAAGTGGACTAAAATACAGCAACAGGCAGAATATCAGTGTTTGATTCATAAGAACCTATTAAAAGATTTAAACATATGACACCTGTGACCTTGAATGTCGAACAAGGACATTAGGTTGAACAGAGTTTAAAGTCTTCCAACCCAGCATGCTTTTGGCAAAATATCATAACCCTGGACCTATTGGTTATACAGAACAAGTCATTTAAAGATTAAAACATATAATGACCACTGTGACCTTGAATATGGGTGAAGGTCATTCTTTTTGACAAAATTGGTAGCCCTTTATCCCAGCCTGTTAATGACCAAATATCATCACCCTTGGCTTTTGGCTAATTTAGAAGAAGTCGTTAAAAGGTTTTAAAAATATTTGACCCCTGTGACCTTGAATATACGTTAAGGTCATTCATTTGAACAAACTTGATAGCCCTTTATCCCAGCATGATACTGGCCAAATATCATTATCCTAGGCCTCTTGGTTATTTAGAAGTTGTAATTCTTTTTTAAACATATTTGACCCCAGTGACCTTGAATATAGGTTAAGGTCATTCATTTGAACAAACTTGGTAGCCCTTCATCCTGGCATGATACTGGCCAAATATCATTATCCTAGGCTTCTTAGTTATTCAGAAGAAGTTGTATAAAGATTTTTTAAGACAATTGACCCCTGTGACCTTGAAAATGAACGAAGGTCATTCAGTTGAACAAATTGGGTAGCCCTTAATCACAGCATGCTAATGGCCAAATATCATCACCCTATGCCTCTTAGTTATTCCAAAGTTGTTGAAAGGTTTTTAACATATTTGTCCCCTGTGACCTTGAATATAAGTCAAGGTTATTCATTTGAACAAACTAGGTAGCCCTTCATCCCAGCATGCTACTGGCCAAATACCTTAAACCTAGGCCTCTTAGTTATTCAGAAGAAGTTTAAAGGTTTTAAACATATTTGACCCCTGTGACCTTGAATATAAGGCAAGGTCATTCATTTGAACAAACTTGGTAGCCCTTCATTCTGGCATGTTACTGGTCAAATATCATTATCCTAGGATTCTTAGTTATTCAGAAGAAGTTGTTATAAAGGTTTTTAACATATTTGACCCCTGTGACCTTGAATATCAGTCAAGGTCATTCATTTGAACAAAGTTGGTAAACCTTCATCCCAGCATGCTACTGGCCAAATATAATTATCCTAAGCCTCTTGGCTATTCAGGAGTTGTTTGAAGGTTTTTAACATATTTGACCCCTGTGACCTTGAATATCAGTCAAGGTCATTCATTTGAACAAAGTTGGTAATCCTTCATCCCAGCATGCTGCTGGCCAAATATAATTATCCTAAGCCTCTTGGTTATTCAGAAGTTGTTTAAAGGTTTTAAACATATTTGACCCCTGTGACCTTGAATATAAGTCAAGGTCATTCATTTAAACAAAGTTTGTATACCTTCATCCCAGCATGCTACTGGCCAAATATCATTATCCTAAGCCTCTTGGTTATTCAGGAGTTGTTTGAAGGTTTTAAACATATTTGACCCCTGTGACCTTGAATATAGGTCAAGGTCATTCATTTGAACAAACTTGGTAGCCCTTCATTCTGGCATGTTACTGGTCAAATATCATTATCCTAGGATTCTTAGTTATTCAGAAGAAGTTGTTATAAAGGTTTTTAACATATTTGACCCCTGTGACCTTGAATATCAGTCAAGGTCATTCATTTGAACAAACTTGGTATACCTTCATCCCAGCATGCTACTTGCCAAATATCATTATCCTAAGCCTCTTGGTTATTCAGGAGTTGTTTGAAGGTTTTAAACATATTTGACCCCTGTGACCTTGAATATAAGTCAAGGTCATTCATTCGAACAAACTTGGTAGCCCTTCATCACAGCATGCTACTGGCCAAATAGCATCATCCTAGGCCTTTTTGTTATTGAGAAGAAGTTGTTTAAAGGTTTTTAACATATTTGACCCCTGTGACCTTGAAAATAGATGAAGGTCATTCATTTAAACAAACTTGGTAGCCCTTCATTCTAGCATGTTACTGGCCAAATATAATTAGCCTAGGCCTCTTAGTTATTCAGAAGAAGTTGTATAAAGATTTTTTAAGACAATTGACCCCTGTGACCTTGAAAATGAACGAAGGTCATTCAGTTGAACAAACTTGGTAGCCCTTCATTCTAGCATGTTACTGGCCAAATATAATTAGCCTAGGCCTTTTAGTTATTCAGAAGAAGTTGTATAAAGTTTTTATAAGACAATTGACTCCTTTGACCTTGAAAATGGACGAAGGTCATTCATTTGAACAAACTTGGTAGCCCTTCATCCCCCCAGCATGCTACTAGCCAAAAATCATCACTCTGGGCATTTTGGTTATTCAGAAGTTGTTTAAAGTTTTTAACATATTTGACTCCTGTGACCTTGAGAATAGGTGAAGGTCATTTATTTGAACAAACTTCGTAGCCCTTCATCCTAGTTTGCTTCTGGCCAAATATCATCACCCTTCGCGCCAGGTGAGCTAAAAGTGTTCATCAGTAAAAAAAAATATCTGACCTTGAAATTGACCATGTGACCTTGACCCTAAGTCAGTTGACTCCTTGGCAAATTCCAACCAACTTTGCTTCATAATGTCATAACAAAATTTTCATCAATGAAAAGATATAAAATTTGACTTTGACCTTTGACCCAGTGACCTTGACATTTGGTCAATTGACTCCTTGTTTAATTCTGACCAACATTGCTTCAAAGTGTCAAAACGAAATGTTCACCAGGGAAAAGATACAAAATTAGACCTTGACCTTTGACCAAGTGACCATGATCTTTGGTTAGTTGATACCTTGTTTGATTGTGACGGACAGACGGATGATTTAGTACAGGGCAACCGCATCTTCGATGTGGGGCCCTAATAACATGGAAGTTATGCCGTGGACAAACTTCGGTATTAAAGTTAAACAAAGGCCCATAACTCTGTACATAGTGGGGCATACAATCTGTTTTCAGTGTGAGAAATTCCATTAACTCAAGATACATCAATATGGTAAGTATGGTCAACGTAGGTGAAATAACATAGAACTTATGCTATGGACAAACTTTGGTATTAAAATTAAACAAAGGGCCATAACTCTGTATACAGTGGGGCACGAGACCTAGTTCCAGTGCTCTGCACACCTTCTGTGGGTGATGCAGGTATACTTAAAGTTTGATTAAGATATCTTTAACATTTTGAAATTTACAGGCCGGTCAAGAATTTACTGAAAATGTGCACTTATTTGACCTTTGACCATGAGGTGAAGGTCACAGTGACCTAACTCCAGTGCACTGCACACCTCCTGTGGGTGATGGGCCCCAGACAAGTCTGATTAGAACGATCATGGTATATATATGACTATGGGATAGAGATCTCAACGGTTTCAGACTTATTATGTGGGTCCCAAGGGGTCGGGCGAGAACCCAGTGTAAAATATCATGACTGTTTATTTCTTTATGTCCATCAATTACATACAAGGTTATGGGATGAGGATCTGAACTGTTTCAAAGTAATGAGTAAAGTCCTTAGGGATGGAGCCAGACCCCACAGTTAATTCTAATATCATGATTGTGTTGGTATCTTTATTCCCAGCTATGGTATATATGGCTATGGGATGGAGATCTAAACAGTTTCAAATTTATTGCCCAGGATTTAAGTCCCAAGGGGTAGGGTGTGAACTCTAATATCTAATTTCTGATTGTGTTTGTATCTTTATGCCCAGCAATGGTACATGTGATTATGGAATGTGGATCTCAACCATTTCAAGGTTATGACCAAGGAAGTAAGTCGCTAGAGGTCGGGCCAGACCTTAGGTTCAATTCTAATATCATGATTGTGTTTAACTCTTTATACCCAGCATTTGTTTCTTTCAAAGTTATGACACACAAACTAAATCTCCAAGGGTGGGGCCGGACCACAGAGCTATCCTGAAAGCATTTGTCTCTATATATTCAGCAATGGCATATATGGTCCAAGTTAAAAATTTGGCCAAGTTAAAATACTTTTTTGCCCCGACCCTCAGACAGGAGGCAGTCCTTCAACTGTTACAATTTTGTAACTTAAACCATTGAAGAATGCTCCAAATACAGTTTTTATCCATCATTTAGTTCCAGAAAAGATGTGAAAATGATATTCATTTTACATAGTGTCCAAGTCATTTAACTATCTGGTGCTAGTGGAAATTTCCTTTTAGTTCAGAGGTAAGAGTGTATTACTGCAGAGTCTGGGGGTTTTGATCCCTATTGGAACACATTGTTTTCTCTACTTCCTTCCTATTACCACCTTACCTGGACACTGTCTGTCCCCGCACGTGTCCGGACAAGACACTGGCAATTGTCCAAACGGACAGGTGTTGTAGTAGTTAGTCACAAAACACAGCCTGTGGACAAAAAGTAATATCATCAAACTAGAATGCCTGCAAAAGCAGCAGGCAGAATCATACTGAATTCTGATTTTTGAATCTTTTACCCAGTCATATGAGAAACCTTTCCTAACTTTTAGAATTTAAGAGATCTGCAAATCAATTTCATGTGTAATGATTTATGATCTTCTCCCAGATCCTGTACTTATCCCTGATCTCTTAAAGCTGTAAAAATTGTACATTTTATCATACATCGTATCTTGACCATATGAAACACGAGCTTTAATGCTCAATATGTTAACAAGAACAAATAAGGCTATTTTTATTATTAAAGAGCATGCAGCTTATAATACTTCATGGATCACTCACATCCTGTCCTGCCAAAGAACATAAGTCCTCTTGAAATCTTAAATACACTTTCTGTACATATAAGTCACATCTTATCTACACAAGGACACACCATTATACCCTCAAAGTCTATCTTATTTCAACATACTTTATTGACAAAAATATACAGATAGATACTATACAAGTCCAGGTGATTAGACTCGACCAATTCAAGTCCTCTCCTTTACAAGCCTTTGATAATATTATTATCTTTCTGGTAAAAGGGAAGCAACTCCCATTGTATTAATGGATGACACTTACAGTAAGAGGCTTAGAGCATTTCAATTACATTTGAATTTCACTAAAACAATTTTAATATACATATTCTGTCTGACAAACTTTAAGGGATAAAGACTGTGAAGGTCCCATAGAGACAAAGGAAATATATATACTGTATGCCAGGAAAGTATCGTCCAGTCAAATATTTGCCCTGCAATGTTAAAAGCTCTATCTGCCCAGTATAAATGTCGCCATTCACATGTAAATATTATATAGGGTAAACTGTGTACTAATACTCTCTGTCATAATAAATTCACTCTTAATGCAGCGAGCGAAAAAAGCGAAAATCAAATCGCAGCGAAAATTTCTAGGTACTTCAATTACTGTAATTGAAATAACAAGCTATTCTTAAATAACAAGCTATTTTTTTTAAGGTGATGAAAAGTATGAGTTGCTTCAATATTTTAGATAAAATTTATATTTATCTAATATTCAGAGAGTAAGGTAATTGCATATTTGATTTATTGGTCTATTTTTCTAAATAAGCATTACAACAAATAAGCATTTAAATACCTAAATAATTTAAAATAGAACTAAAAAAAATCAAAGGATGATGGGGCCTGTAATTCTCATCTTTGGTGTTGGCAAACTATATTTAAAGGAGATTTGTTTATATGAGATAATCATGTCAGGCCACAACAGTCATATACAACTAGGATGTTTTACAGTCCTTCACACCTGCTAGCTCCAGAAAAATATCTTTATTTCAGGTATTGTAGTTCTTTAGAAATTACTAGAGGTTTTTGACACATCTGCATCAATATTGGGCAAGGCTATTAATTGGTCAATCAATTACCAAAGCTAACTACAGACCAAACATTTTCCTATCTATTGGTTCATAAAAAGTCGTATGAATATTTTAACACATTTGACCACTATGACTGTGACCTATACAAAAAGTTAAATCTTACCTGTGGTCCGAAGGGACTGGTAGCCAGAGCTTGTTCTCCAGGACACTGGAGGTTCTTGGTGTGTAGTCTGTCTGCTGCCTGTTTTGTATAGCCTCAATCTGAGCCACCTGGTTACCCCGGACGAACCAGCTGGACGAGTAGACCCAGCTTGGCAGCATAGTCACTACAGGACAGATCCGTGTAATAATTTGTAGGGATAAGTCATCCAGCTTCCCCAGCTCCACATCTGACCAGCGTTTGATGATCACATATGCAGGACCAAGATAGAAGTTGTTACACATTCGTTTATCAAAACCCACAGAGTCAAAGCCAAATACATCATAACCATTTCTGTCCAAACCATTACTACTGTAGCCGTATCTATTGTACCCAAAACGGTCAAACAGGTCCAAACGTTCTCCCTGTGTCCAGGTCCCATTACCAAGGAAACCATAGGGTGTCATTCCATTACGGTTAAATCCATACCTGTCATATCCATCCCTATCATAGCCAGCACTGTCTACCCCATCCAAATTGTACATATCGTAGTAAAAACCATACCGGTCAAAATCAATTGCATCATATCCATTCCTCTTGTACCCATGACGATCTAGTCCTAGGGTACTAAATATTCCACGCATATCTGGGTTACCACCACGGTCCATTGCTCGTTTGTTGAATCCATCCCTGTCATACCCCTCTCTGTCGTATCCATGGCGATCATACCCCTCACTGTCATAGCCAAAGAGAGGCACAGATGTGTTACACAAAGCCCCTTCTGACAGGGGGAGATAAGCCACACACATCTGTCCTTCTGAAGCCATCACATCATCAGGTGTGACATCAAATGGTACCATAGAAATATAGCGCAGTTTCTGTGGGTAGTTAAAGTAACCATTACCACCACGTTTCTGCCACTCAGACCAAAGCCTGTCTATAAATGCCATGTGAGAGAAAAACAGTGGATCGTAAGGTGCAAGCTCTGTCTGCATGTGACCACCAACCCAGGCCTGGAACTGGTTGGACATTACCTCTAATTGCAGGCGAAAGCTCTCATAACGTTGTCGACGCATCAGTAGCTCTACATCCACAGCATCAGGCAGACTGATTTTGGTGTTGAATTGTCTCCGCAGACATGGGGCCCAGAAGGGTGGGTGGTAGTCCTTAAAAGGGTGATTGCGTACACAACCTTCCAACGTCTCACCGTTACCCCCAAACATATTGGCTGCCCAGATAATGCTCTTCCTCATGTCGCCAACATCCACTGTCCAATCAAAGTAGGGGATTGTGAGACTGCAATCAATCTCCTGTAGCTCCTGCTCCACAAACTGTAAGAAATAGCGAAGCCAGGGCAGGAAGTGCTCCCCTCCCACGGCCTGTGGTCGGTGATCTGCGTACATCCTCGCAAGCGAGAACCAGCGTGAAGGATGACCAGTCTCCATGGCTAGATGTTTAATGGCTGCCTGGAATTTTTCCATCTCTTCTCGTGTCATATCACGAATCTCCTTCCTCTGGCGCACATTGACACAGTCGCAAATAACAGATCCACTTGGCAAACATGTGCATGTCTGGCAACCACGCCGAAACTTCTCGCCGAAACCATAGGTCATGTTGCCATGGCTACATCCACATGATTTTTCACACTGCGTGGTTTCACATCTCTGGCCTGGTACAAACTTTATGACTTCCTGACCTTTAACTTTTTCCAGATTCTGACATTGGTCCAGGGAAGCTGATCTACAGCTGTAGAGGTACGCCACAGTGACTCCTTGTGAGTTCAAGCCTCGTCGACTGTGTCCCTGACAGTTCATACCAGCCCTGCAACAAATAAGGTTTAAGAATACAAATACACATTTTTACAAAGTCTATAACAGTATATGTTATTGTGACATTTCAATACAGGATCATAGTATTTCTCATACAAACCGATCCATTGAACATTGCAGACTGCCAGGATTGCCGCCCCGATTTCATCTCCTCGTATTTTTATATATAGTCAAAGTGAAAACAATGTATCCTCATACTTAACCATGATGGAAAATTTGATGAAAATCAGAGAAGAAATGAAGACCAATGGCACTAGGTGGTCGGGTGGTGCAATTGATAACAAACTCACCTTTCAGCAAGGCAGCCAAGAATCAATTACCCAACCAGACATGAAAAGGTAGGGATCACCCACCCGACCACATTGGTTTTCTCCAGGTACTAGGGTGTCCTCCCACATTCAGACCCCCCCCGTGCACTAACATCCGGGCCAACAATATTGATTAATATAAGTTGCAATAACTTGTTTAATAATTATTGTATAATAAATAAAGTCTGTATTTATATATAATGGCACTGGGTAAGGAATAGACAAATTAGGATGGAGCTAAATGCAGCTCAACAGGACACCATACAACAGGAGTAAAGGCCTGCATAGAACCGTATCTCTGTATGTCCACCATAAAACGGTGGGGGTATAAGAACTGGTGTATATGATCTACTGTACACTGCCTACCTGTCATAGCCCTCACTGTCATATCCCTCCTCGTTGTAGTCAATGTTGCCGTCATAGTCTCCTATATCACTGTAACCCAGCAGGTTGAATCCTTCCTGATCTAAACCGTTTCTGTCATAACCAAAGCGATCAAACCCTTCCTTGTTGTAGCCGAAATGGTCAAAACCTGAATGAATGGGAATCGGATTATACAAATAGGTCATATATGGTTGAAGATTTTACCGTAGTTACCACGATCATGAAAATTCAACAAGATGACATTATCTTGATTTACTTCTGATTAATGATTAGATAATAAAGAGATTAAGAGAAAACAACTTTTTGTGATCGTAAAATCCATGGGAGTTTATCCACTAGACAAATTCTACATCACTGTTAGACAATCTCCTATGTGCCTTACACCACATACCCTGCCAGTCATAGCCTTTGGAGTTGTAGAGGTCATTGCCATTGTAGAATGAATTGTTGCGAGTCCTAGGTTCCCCTCGTCTGTTGAACCCCTTGATGTTGAAGCCATACCTTCATTACAAGACATATATAAAGTTCAAGGTAAAGGTACATTTTAACAGTTGTAATCACCAAGGAGACTTTTGAGTAATCTCCCTTCCTTATAGAACATGAAGCAACCAAAAGGATTTTTTCCAGCTTAGAGTAACTTTCCGTGTCAAGTTATGTATCTTTCAATGTCCCTTGTTTTTTCATAGGCTTTGCTGCCTATAAATTGGACTTCCTTTTTGATACTAGGCATTTATATTACCTGAATGGCAACCTTGGTAAAACCGTAGGCTTTGCAATGAAAAGCCCTGAGTTTGACCCTTGCCTTTTTTCTGTTTTCCTTTTTTTAATTTTTATATTCAAAAATTCAAATTTGGGACAACTATAGTTCTATAAAAAGCATCGCAACATGTGATTTTTATGAAATACTCCTTTTGAACAGGATTGAAATAAGCATTTCCAAAAAAGTGACTGGAAATAATAAAAGTTCACCTTGTTAATACCCTCAACATTCCAACCTTACAATGGTGAAATTAATGCTGAGGTCAAAATTAAAATAGTTAATACCCAACACAAGCTGTATCATACTTACTTATTGATCTCAAATTAGAACAGACATAATCAGTTATATCAGTTGAAAAATGTCATGTCAACGTCTTGTTTCTTTTTTAAGCAAAACACCTTAAAAATAAAGAAGTTCTTCCTTATAACCTACCTGTCATAGCCCTGAATGCCGTATCCAATGTTCCTATTTTTGAAATTGGGTAGTCTGTGACAGCATGCACCAATGGAGCAGCGTCCCCGACAGGCCTCTAGGGTTGGGAAGTTGTTAGCGTTTCCCCCACAGCCCATGTACACAAACTCCTCACAGGCCCGGGACTTGGGATTATAGTACCACCGTGACTCCTGTCCACATAGGGATCCTGAAACGTTAATTCCACGTTACCATTGTCTTGTCAAGTCTCCCTACTGAACTTTATTGTCATTTTCATTCCCCTTTACTGACATAGTGAGAAAAACATGAGAATAATGTTATTGAGGTGTGCACATTGACATGAATTACTTTCAAAACTCCAGCCCAGAACACTACAGAGATTTGCCACAAACGTTCATACCAGTCAGGAGAACAGGTATGTCAGCATGTGAACACCACTCACCAGTGTTGATGGGGAGACTACAGACATCTAGGGCTGGAAACTGACACAGGTGTCCGTCCCAGCCAGGTGGACAGGTACAGGTGATCAGCTGTGGCTCTGTCGGCCAAATAGAGGGGACACAACTCCCGCCATTCTGACATGGGTTCGGCTCACAGAAATCTGTAACAGAGTATCATCACATCATAAGAAGGTCTGAAAATAATTTTAGTTATATCAAATTATCTTTTAAGAAATATGTGAATAGAATATCTGGTATATAGATGGTTAAGATACAGAAGATGTTTTAGCATGACAGACATAAATGTACCTCTCTCTCCGTGACAGTCAACAATCTGGTCATCGTAGAACCAAACATCTCGACACTCTGTGCAGAAGTTGATGCGACAGGTAGCCTCTGGCCAGGAGGGACAGGAGGCCATTAGACAGGGGTTGGTCACACAGCTGGCTACAGTTGTCTCACAGGTACACGGTGTCAGGAAGGATTGTGTGTCGAAGCAGAAACGTGCGTCTGTGGCTGACAGAGTCCGTTCTGTGTTAGGGATGGGACTGGGCGCAAGGGCTGTAACAAAGGAGGTCATTACCAAAGTAACTTAACAATAATTTCATTGAGAAAGAAATAATTATTCTGAATAACTAGACCTAAATTTGCAGCTGTTCTCAAATGTCAATCCAGAAAATAACGTTGTATACTAATCCTGAAAAATTTGCCATTAGTACAGAGGGCAAACACGGTGAAATGTTAACTGCGACAAAAATTTCCTGGCACAAATTACTTTCCGATTTATACCAATTAATAGAGTTGATGATAGTTGAAAGTCCTTTTGCCTACCAGACACATCCTTGATCTGTGTGATCCAGAACTGCTCGGCCCAACTAATAGGGACGGGGTCCAGTGGGGGACACATGCGGGGGAAGGTCTTCAGAAATCCCTGGCCTTGCAGGGAAAGGATGTCCCAGATCTTGAGGCTCTGGGCTGTGGCGAAGGGACCTTTGTAGTAGTAGGAACACTCATTGGCATCAATTCCTCCTACTGTAAACCCATGCTTGTCGTAACCGTCTCTCGTCAAACCTGGCAAAAACAATTATAAAACAATCATTTTTAGTACACAAGTAATGCTGTAAACAGTATAAAATAATGTTGAATACCGTAACAATACAATAACTTTTAAGAGGATGGAGCAAACAGTGTCAATCAACAACAAGAAAGCTCCAGTAAACACCTTCTAGCATCAGTTCTACAATTTGAAACATTTCTGAGCATTTAAATCATACCTCTTCGGTTCAAACAGAAGTCGTTGTATCCATTGGTATGGTAATGTCCTGTTGTGTCTTCTTCATTATTGCGATTGAAGCCCTCCACATCATAACCATATTTGGTATAACCTTCACGATTCACACCAAATCTGTTATAACCACAACGATTAAAACCTTCTCTGTCATAGTTATCCCTGTTGAAACCTGCAGTACACAGAAAAGATAGAGTTACTGAGCAATATATAGTCTATCTATATCAATTTAAGCCTGACAATAAACTTGCCTACAAAAACTGAAAGGTTAAAATTAGAAGCAAAAGTCAAAATTCACTCACCGTCTTTGCCGTACCCATCTTGACTGAAGCCTCGACGATCAAATCCTGCTTCATAGCCTGGCAAATTTAGGTCAACTGTAACGGCCGGTATGTCTCCTCTATCAGGTTGTCTACCGAGTTCAGGGCCGGGATTCATTGTTACGTTACAGGGATTACCTTTAGAGGGTAAAGCATAGGTCACACACACTTCAGCTTCAAGGTCAAGGACACTACGGGCTGGAATGTTGAAGGGCACCATTGGAATGTTTCCGTAGCCTCCAGGGAACATGTTCTTGTTGTTACCTTTCTGCTGCCATTGCCAGTACAGCATATCTACAAATGCATGGACGGAATAGAAGATTGGATCATAGGGGGCCCCAGTGGTGAGCATGTCTCCGCCAATATAGCGATGGACGTAACTGAGGAAGGTCTCGAGGAACATGCTCATGCCTAGGAAGTTCTCGCTGCTGATTGCAATTGACAAATCTGCCAATGAAGGAATTGGGACAGACATATCAAACTTTCTCATGATGCAAGGACGCCATGACCCTGGCTGACCAAACGAATGGTCAGGCACGCAGCTGTCTACCTCTCCATTACCACCAAAGTAGTTTGGCTGCCAAATGATGGCATCAGCAAACCTGCCAGCATCTGTAGTGAAGTCAAAGTATGGTAATGTGATGGAGCAGTCAATTCTCTGTAGTTTTTGTTCCAGTCGTCGTAGGAAGATGCGGTGCCAGGGGAGGTAAAAGTGGCCTCCATTGGCCTGCATGCTGTGGGTCATATACAAATCCCGTAGTTTCTCCCATTCATTGCCAGGGCCAGTGAGGCGCAGCTGCTGGATAGCCGAATAAAACTTGACAAGCTCTTCTCGCGTCATGTCACGGATTTCCTTCCTCTCTGATACCACCTTACAACTGTAACACACAGGTAGAGACAAAGTAATGATAAGGGTGCTATTTTATACAGGAAACAAGTGAAACAGTCCCTGAAGGGAGAGCACTCTAAGTTACAAATATTTCAAAATCCTCACCAATACGCGACTATATATGCTTGTTACATTTCTCCTATCTGCCTTAGTCCTATCAATGGTTTTCTTAACCCTATCTTACTGACACCTGCCCTAGTTACATGATCCTCTCCGCTCAGCCTACCTGGTCCATGCTCTTAGTTATTCACACTCCATCCTTATTTACCCAGGTCCTGCAATGGTCATCAACCTCTACCCTAGCTTCAGTTGTGGTACCGCACAAGGCACCAAAAATAGCGTGCGCACACCGTGCATACATCGTTCACACACCGTCCGCACATCGTCCACACATGGTGCGCACAACTGTGCGATTTAGCAATCGTTCGCCCCGTTGTGCGCTTCTCTCCGCACAACTGTGCGATTTGGTATCATTTGTAGATCAAAATTACGGAATGACAAAAATACGGAAGGCTTGTGTGCGATAATGTACACTGTGTATATATCTGTAATTTCTCATCACAATAATCAAGATTATACAATTTCACCAGAGAGGTATAATACATTATTATATACGTCTCTGATTTCACAATGTATGTTACATTGTACACAGTATTACATGCACAGCGACCGTTAGGCTGTCAAGAATGGGTTTGACTCCAAGGTAACAGAACAGGTAAATAACAATTTGATGAGTGTCCGGAGTTTTACCTGACCAGTACCTGACACACAGAGTTGATAAGTTTGACCGTAATGAATAGTATTTGTTATTTGCATTCGTTTGCCTATAGCTCCCATTCACCTGGATTTTCACACCCCGGCCTACCCGACGAGTTACGTAAGTGCCCCAGGCGGGGGGGAAACTACGGTCCAGGTATATGTACAAAGTGGGATTGTGTTGTAATTTTACATGTGTCGATTAAGTTTGTTTAAAAACACAGAAAATACAATGTGTAAATATAAGAATGTATAGACAGAAACATACGAAAACATCAAGTTTATATGTTTAAACATGAAACCGTATATATTGTTGAGGCATTCCTCAATTTTCACCAACCACGATTGTTATCGCACAACGTCCGTCCATCGTGCGCAGATATGTGCGCCCATCGTGCACACGCCGTTCACACACCGTGCACACATCGTGCGCACACCGCACATCGTGTAACGTTGTGCGATCCCACAACTGTACCTGCATGTCCATTGGTCATCAACCTCTACCCTAGCTACCTGCATGTCCATTGGTCATCAACCTCTACCCTAGTTACCTGCATGTACATTGGTCATCAACCTCTACCCTAGTTACCTGACTGCTACACTAGTTGCATAACCCCTATCCTTAGTTACTAAACTCCTCCCTTAGTTACCTGCACGTCCATTGGCCATCAGCCTCACACATACAGTCCTGACAGCCCTGAGGGATCTTGTCTCCGGGTGAGTATGTCTGGCCATCATACATACACTTGTCAGAGGGCATCAGACAGTTAACCTCCTCGCACAGCTGGCCTGGGGCGAAGGCTGTTACCTCCAGCTGGTAACCCAGTCTCTCGTCACCATGGAGACTTCGACAATCACCAATACTCAGGATCTACAGACCATACAAAACTAGTAGTAGAAATCTTATCATAGTTAATGTGAGAGAATTGTGTTATTTGTTGTGGTGAATATTCCAGTCAAATCTTAAATAAATTTACACATCACTAATAATACGTACATGTTATTCATCGGCGTTGCTTGGGTCTCAATACATTGCCACTGTTGTGGACATTGTGGTAGTATAAGTTAAACTGATCATTTTTGATGGCCTGCTGCATTTTAATATAGTGGTCACAATTGTACTGGGGTAATTTGTTGTTCTATAATTTTTATACATTTCACTGTATATATATATAAAAGGGGTTGTCATGGTAACATGTCTGTTGTTGCTATGTACCTCACACTTTGACTCCTCCCCTTGTTCTCCTTCTATAAGTGCGTCAACGTCTGTCTTGAATCTCCTGAAGCAGCAGGCACCCGTCATGGCCACACTTCGGCATTGTTCTATTGTCTCATAATTGTTGACGTTTCCACCACATCCTGGTCATTTAATTTTAAAATCATTATAAGGCCTTACATAGTGTTGTCTCTCCTATTCATTGCAATTGAACAGCTTTAAATATACTAGTACATACGGATTCAGATGTCTTTAGATTGTGCCATGTGTTATTTTGTTGTTGTGTACTAGTAAACAGAGAAAGTATCATGAATATTTGTTTGAATATTTTTATTTACTTGATTTACATTGTGAAAGTGTTTGGACAAAATTTGACCAATGAATCACAAACTTTGAGAATAACTACACAACTATACCTGAGTAGTTAAAAGGGAGACAATCCTCAGTGAATCTGTCATAGAAGTATCGGATCACAGTGTTGTTACCATCACAGCAACCCATCTCCAGGGGCCACACACAGGGGTTCTGTCGCACCTCACATGTGGGGCCATCAAAGGGGGCCATACAATCACAGTGGTAGCCATCCATCCCCACATCCACACAGGATCCCTGGTTCTTACAGGGGGAGTCTGTACAGGGGGCTGTAACAAACATAGTTATATATAGGGCTGGCTCTCACCTCTGATCGGGGAGTGACATTATGTGACATGTTTGTATACCATCCTATGGTGACATATGATATATAAAAACACAGTTGTGGACCTCAATTTCATTTGATCAATGATTAAAGTTTTGTTCGGAGCAATGCTTTGACCTACAGAAATATCAATCATTTACATCATGGTCTGAGCAATGCTCTGACTTCAACCTCCATGAATATTGCTCAGAAAGGTCTGTTTATCATTAAGAGACCTCTTCTTAAGTCCATAATTGTATATTCTAACACGATTCATTTGCAACACGTGTTTTGATTGGATACGGACCATGTTCTAATCTGGGATATAATCATGATCAATCGTGTTAAGCTCCTCCTATCGCACTTAAGCCACACCCCGTTTCTAACAAAAACAAGATGGCGTCAAGTTCGCCTCTTAGCGAAATGCCGCTGATAAGACTAGTAGGCAACAGAACAGAAACGACTGATGAAATGCATTTGTTGAATGAATTAAAAAGTAAAAAGTACACATTCCTTGTTCTTACCTCCATTTATTACTGAAACGTTCGTTCCATCCGTGTGAAGGCATCTATTTAGATCCGAAATCAAATGAAACATTTCACATGTGTCGTATGCATTTACACAAAACTCTTCACAAATCTACCGATTTTGTCGATAAGCACAGATTGGTATGCATACTGACATGGAAATGTAAGAACTTGGTCAATATTAATCCAAATGTGTCTTATAAACTTTGGTAACAGAACGTTCACGAACAATCCAAATATTCCGCCTCGTCAACATACAGATCGAGCTCTCGCCAGTATGGGCGGGGCAAATGACCGACATTTGTAAGCTTCTTTCCGATTGGTCAGTCCGCTGCAGAATGACACATCGCCAATTCAGGTCACAAAGTATTTTACTACATACTTTTGTCCAAGGAAATACAATGTTTCTAAACATATTAGCGTAGTATATTTGTTAAGGTGTGTTAGAATGGGGATAGTACGTTATAGCCACTCAAAACAACGTACTATCCCCTAAATGCAACACAGGGCTGTATTCAGTGTATCTAGAAATACCTCCATGTATGATTACATACCTGTACAATTGGCCATATCAAGTCGAGGTGAGCAAGATGGCTGTCCTTTCTGAAAACACATCAAATAAAAGAAAAGTCAGTATCTAATGCAAACATTCAGTGAAGGAATATTGTAGGAACTTGTTCGCAGGGATTTTATCACATTGTGATAAAACATCTATTACATTGTAAATCATATAATTAATACATTTCTATTACTTATGTAATATTTTACTTTTTTTATTAACAGAAATATTACCATCACAAATAAAATGTATATTACCTGTACAATTACAAACATTCTCTGTCAATAAGATTTTAAATGAAGCATTTGTTAGTTTTTATTTTGCATTAATATGATCTGTGTATAGGTTTGTGAGACTATAAAAACCCTGGTGATATGTAGGCTTTGTAATAAAGCTAACTCGAGATTTATACCCAGATTTTATGTAAGATTATGCCAATAATAAAGTTCAAAAGAAATGGATACCTATAATTTGTAATACAGCTCCATGTGATGATGGGAAATCAATTTTGCTTTATTTTAACATAGAGAATAGTCATACGGTAAAAATGTTTAAGTGTCAGATTAAATTCATGAACCATAACCATCTCTCCAACTAGTCTGGTGTTATCCGACGTTATCAAAACCACATAACTGGAACACTTGTTACATAAATTAAGCAAACAAATTAGCTGAACATTTTTGTGTGCTGTATAGTAAACCTGACAAAAATAAACCAGACTCATCATTTCAGCCTTATAAAATAGAGCTACCCACTCGGGGAAATTCCATAAAGCTTTCTGATGGTTATAGCCAGCCCAATCAGAGCCCTTCTTCACAGACAGTTTCTCATACTGGTAAAGATACATGTACTTCATCGTGTTAAATATTTTGCATGTGCTCTATAAATTTTAAGGGGAATCTACTAAAGATATATTTACTGTGATTATTACCTATGTTAGTATTAAAATATAATGCAAAACAATATTAATGCATTTTTTGTTTCAAAAAATCAAATATTCTTTTACTATGTGGAAAGATAGTCAGGCAGTTTTATCCAAATTCCAGCTGTTTCAAATCTTACGATTTAGCACACAAAAAACACAAATCCCCACCAAATATAAGGTGGTTTATTGAGATCTTATCGGAGTAGCTGTAACTCCATTAGTTAGAAATGGGAGTTATGAACATCCAAATGACATCAGGTTAGCAGCATGAGTTCTTACATCTCACAGAGGGAAACATCCCCTGTACCGAGGTAGAACGGGCAGACACACACCAAAGACATTACACTGATACAATTTCATCTCCTAATGGTTCGTAAGATTTTTTCTGGGTTTCTTTTCCATATTAATTGACTGTATTCTTGATGAGTATTAAGACACCTGTCCACCAAGATGTATAGTCTCAGCTATAAGGGCAGGCAGGTTGTGTTGGTCCTGAGGCCTCAGTGATCCAGTCACTAAAGTTTCATTTCCTGGGGAGAATGTTGCTTGTCCCCATTCAACTGTCTTTAAGTAATTATTTTCAAAGGAAATTTGAAAAAAAACATCTCTATTCTAAGTAAACTTTTTGAATATGACTCAAAATTAGACTTCCAGCTACCTCATGCTGTTTGTGATTAATTCTGGAAGAGAAAGATTGGTTTGGTTTGGTTTTATTTTGTTTAACGTCCTATAAACAGCTCAGGTCATTTAGTCAACAATGACTGTCAGTTTGCTCTAGATGTTGAATGTCATTTACCAGAATCAAAGAAGTTTTAATAAATCCATAGATACCATCAGTTTTATAGATAAGTGCCAGAAAAATCTAATAGCTAAAAGACCTCGAAAAGGCTCATCATAAGTAGATGTAGAGATATCATTCTGACAAATAACTATCTTTTGGTATGTATGTGGCTATTATTAATAAAAGGTAAAAGATATATGTTAAGGATTTATGCATTGACTCCATACAATGAGCAAGGTAAAACCTTGGTACCCTTGATTTGAAAGGATGGTTTGGTGGCGCAGTGGTTAGGACATTTGCCAAGTTCCTTAAGATGGCAGTTTTGAGTCAGCGTCTGACAATCTAGGATCACTAACCCTCCACCACTGGGTCGAGTGGTCAAGGCGTCTGACCATCTACAATCACTAGCCCTCTACCACTGGGTCGTTTGTTTAGTTTAAACTTTCTTTTATTCAAGTATTTCAATTATATACATATATATGCAATATATAAATATATATATATAACATTTTGTAACAAAACACAAAATAGGAACTAGAAACAAGTGTCTTAGACACTTATGTAAATCTATCACCTTATCATAATCTGCAAAATATATTCAGGATGGACAGCATATTGTCTCCAATGAAAAATACATACAATAATACAATCAGTGACAATAGCTTAAACAAGGAGAAAGAAAAGGATATAATTAATGGTGAAGGGTTTTGGTTGTTAATGGGTTTTACTTGTTCTTAAATACGTACAATTCGGCTTTAAGCACATACATATTTATGAAATATTAAATCAATAGGAAAACCTGTTTGTTTTTAATATATAATCTTGGACAGCTAGGAAGATAACCTTATTTTCTTGTAATGGCAATGTCATGTTCCCAAACAGTAGAATATCTGTGGTAATATTATAAGGCAAAGAATATAAATACTGTCTTCTTATGTCATCATATCTGGTACATTCTAAAAGAAAGTGAGCAGTGTTTTCAACTTGACCGCATACACATAGCGGAGATTGAACAATATTTTTACCAAATAACCGACTGTTTAAGGAACTGCATTCCATTCGTAGACGAGCATGGTATATTTGACCCTTACGGGTTCCAAAAGTGTAGTGGATTGGTACTTTTCTACCTAACTGTTTATCAAGGTATGATTTTATAGCAGAAACAGACGAATTTGATCTAACATCAGATGGTAGTTTAATTGGAGTGACACATGTATGGTCTGAGTTCCTTGTATCATATCTATGTCCCTCCGAAACTGTGTGAGGAACAAGATTATACAAATATTGAGGCGTATATTGGTAAAACATTCTATGAAATTGAAGAATTTTTCGATTTTTGTCTAATAATCAAATAATCTCGTCCATCTTGCTTCATTGAACAATTTGTCAATACTTGTTAGTTTTGTCGCGCCAATTACTATCCGAGCAGCTTCAACATTGAGGTTTTCAAGGGTTTTTTCCGGTTATTTTGGAATATTTCCCCATACTATATCACCATTTTCGAGAAGTGGTCTTATAAAAGAGAAATTATATAGTTTGCAAAGTTTGTCTATCTAATTGGAATTTCAAAGATCTCATTATATTAATTTTAAAGGAGGCTTTGACAATGATATAATTAACTTGATCTAGCCAACGACCATCTCCAGAATAGTACACACCAAGGTGCTTGTGAGAGGATACATTATTTATTGGAAAGTTGTTCATATGTAGAGGATATGGTCGTTTGTTTGATCCCTGGTGGAGGCATGCTTCTATATATCTACATCAGTATCTTTTTCTGAACACACCAATATACTGTAATTATAACAGCTATAACTCTTTCCTATTTATTTCATTTTTTACAATGGTCCTTTTCTACCGAAACAGCACTTGTCCATAGCTCATTGCCTGTCCAAGACTTCAGACGATTACTAGGAGTGTTACATGTAAAGTTTCCCCATATTTCCAGGAGAGCCCAAGACTAATAATCTATCTCCTTCACAGGAAGGTAGATCCAGGAATACTCTGTTTTAGAATTTAACAACTTGGCATCTGTCTGTACACACAAAAATAGATTTATGGTCATCCCTACTCATTGATAAACAGAGGCAATATTAGCCAAACATCACTTACTATCAGTATAATCACCTTAGATACACTATAAGATAGGGAAACACCCTGCTGCTCCAGTCAAACTAGCACACACTACTCGACACATATTTCTCATGATTTCAGCAAATATATATAACTTTACATGATCAGGAGCTGACAATGCTCCTAAAGAGGTCCTACTGGTCTCCATGGCAGGGAAGCTACCTGAGGATGCAGATGCAGAGTGATGGGGTGGACACTATACTGAGAAGTAAAGCATTATTGAAATTGGGGGGGG